TTATTTTCTCCAAGATAAAGTAGAATTTTTTTCAATAGCCATAGTTTGGTCTTCTGATATGGATAGCCAAGAGATAGATACTATACTAATGAGATTATCTCAACTGACTAGCTCACGAAGGTGACCTCGAGATGAAGAATTACTTACACCACGACGACGACGGAGGATACCGAGTAACCAATCACTGGTGATTGTATTTGAGTTCGAGTCTGCTTACGATGGTCAGCCAGAAGGCATATTTGTAGGACAATTTTACAATGAGGACACGGAAGTTCATGCTTGGTCAGAAGTTGAAGGAGTGGGCCACTACCGTTGGCTTCAAGGGCTGATGAACCACTTGCCTCATGAACAATAGTTGGAGTTCATAGCAAATGTTATGCGACAGATCTTCATTTTCTTGCGTTGGTACTGATTAACAACAACATTGCTTCTCAGAAACCTCGAAGCTAAAAGAGGGAGTGATGTTAGGGACATAGTCCTTAGAACCTTCTAGAGACAAGTTTCTAGAACCTTCTAGAAGCAAGTCTTTGGAACCTTCTAGAAGCTTCCTAGTTGGTAGAAGTTGCTTGAGAAGCTTCCTAAATAGGAGTATATATTGGAATCGAGGCTGAAGAGTTCTTCAGTCTCTACAACACATCTCTTGGAGCTCTAGCTCACCTCTCTAGTGTTGTTCTTGTATTCATCTGATTAATCTAGTTCTTGCCAGTTCTTCTTAAATTTCTTGTTAGATCTCGAGCCTATATTTCTATGTCCGTGACAACTTGTTGTGTGGTGTCAATTTAATGAGTGGTAAATTTAGGGCTCACAAAAGGCCTCAACAATGATCAAATAATAAGGTAGTCTTTTTGCCTTAGAATAGGACATCATCAATTGCTAAGATGATCTATCAACTATTTTAAAAAAAAAAAAAAACAAAGATTAGAATATGTGGCCAATACAATTTGCTACATCTTGGACTTCTTCAACATGTGATTGTTCTTTATGAAATTTATCCCTGAAAAAAGAGAATAATGTCACAAATATATATATATATATATATATATATATATATATATATATATATATATATATATATTCTGCAATAGTTATCTAAACATTATGAATAGATAAAATTAAGTTAATTTGATAATATCTTAAAAGGGAGCTTTTTAGAAGCTTTATAAATGCAGCTTCACCTTTTATACATATCTATAGGTGATTTATAGGTTAGAAACTTGGCCAAAAAATTGGCCACATATTGTACATGTCGATAGCTTGTAGTACAAGCTAACAATGTGATATAAATATAAGAAACTTGCCTTACAAGTTAAAAGATGTATCTTGCAAATTTGACACATGTCAGAGGTCTTATAGAATGTTGCCACATAGCTTTTTATTAGATAGTATATATAGAGGTAAGAGTGAAGTTTTTTTACTCTTATCAATGCCTTTTTAATCATTAGTCTTGTTTTAAGACTTTTTAGTCTTCTTTGCTTTAGCAATATCCATTCCAATTCAATATATTACCATTTTTGAATGATTTTCTAGTCTATTTGAATGACATAAGAATGTATTGAGTTTTTCTTTCTTTGAGATTTATGTCTTTGATAATATGTTATTATGTATCAATCAAGATAAAATTTGACATTATGAAGTATTCAATCTTTTTGAAGTTTATATATTTTAAATTATAATAAATCTAAAATGATATGATTTATGGAAAATTTAATGACTTTATTTTTTTATATTTTTTGACAAAATAATATACATAATATCTCTTAATAACAAGAAATGGCCTTTTGCATTCTTTTCATATATAATTTTATATTTTGTATTAAAAATATTTTAAAATATTTCATAAAATAATATTAATATTATTGGGTATTATAAAATTTAATAATAAAAAATATAAGTTAAATGACATTTAAATCATTTAATAACTTGTAATGATATGGAATTTAGTAAAATTTAAATTAGTTTTTGCTTTAAAATTTTATCAATTGTCACATAAACTATATCATATTGTGTATACATGAATGATAATTTAGCCAAAATTACATCTAAATTATTCAATATTAAATCTTGCTACTCAAAAATAATAAAATTTAAGATGAATTTATTTTTTTGAGTGACATTTAAGTAAACTTGACTTAACATATTGGATAATTTTATGGTTGGAACCTAATAACAAGTTATATTTGGTCAATGAATTCAAAAGAAAACTTAAATTGATTACCATTAAACTTTCAAATATATGTATATTTTATTATATTTTATTATATTATTTATAATAATTAGTAATAAAAAGAATCACTTAAAGTAAAATAGTTATTGAATAAAAGTTTATATTTTTACAATTATATATTTAATCACTTAAAATGCTTGATGTGGTGGTAAATAAAGTTAGTGACTTACAATCATGAACCCTTTTGTTTATGTATTTATGCAATAAAAATTTCTATTTTTATTTATTTTTTTAAAGTTAGAAAAAAAAAATTAAATCTATAAAATAATAATTTAAAAAATAAAAAAAATAATAAAAAAATTGAAAAGAAGAAAAATCTATAATCTTTCATGTAGTTATAAAAAAATTTGTGATTTAGCAATATCTTTTAATGGCTATTGCTAAATTTAAAATATGAAAGTACAAAAAAGGCATTGACAAAATTAAAAATACTTGAAGTTATAAAAGTTTTAAGACTTTTATAACTTTTATGACCATGAAGGATAAAAAAAAGTTTTTTATTTTTATTTTTAGTTGTAGATAATTTTATTATAAGTGAGGGATTAAATTGATTATAGATAGAATTCACTTGATTTTGTTTGAGAGATTGGATTAAATCAAAACTTTAAAATTTAGCTAGCTAACATACTTTTTCTAGTAAATGTCATGTAGTGTATTATTAAGAAAATCTGAAATAATTTGTTCTAATATATTTGAACTAAATGCAATGAACAAAACCCATCTGTCCATTTCATCCGCTCAACGAACTTACCATTCATCCATCAACATCAACATCTGCATCCATACATCCACATCTAGATTCATCCACTACTCACCTCATTCATTCGTTCGTTCGCTCGGTTGTTCGTTCACCTTTGCAGAGGAAGCCAGGGTGACCGGCAGGCCCAGTCCGTTCCACATTTTAGAGAGGTCGTGGGCCCTACTTCCGTGGGGGCCGCCAGCGGAGCTGCTTTTGCCATCCGACGGCATCGTGAGAATGAGAAAGTTCTATCGACGCAGCCCTTCCCACCCTGTTGCCGCTTTTCGCAGGGCTCTGCCCGGATTGCTGCCCTTGCCCCGGGGGTACAACCTTCATAAGCTCTGTCGGATTGCAGCCCCTCCCGCTGTGTGAACGCGTTAATGTGCGAGTTGTACACGTACAGTATCCTCACGGAATCAGAAGACAAATTCACTCTGGTTTCATCTTGTACACTGCTCCCGTATAGACTCCTTCCTATTCAAGTTTTCATGTGGTCATTGCTCCTATTTACTTCTAACAAGGGGATTCAGACTTAAGGTTTTTGGGTGATACTTCACCCATGATGACATCTCAAAGTATCAAGTGATATTTCGAAATATTACTTAATACTCCAAAAATCACCAAAATATCAAGTGATAATTCGAAACTTGGTGGCAATACTGTTTGAATGGTGATATTTGAGTGATCTATGATATTTGGATTCCCAAAAACCAAAAATACATGATATTTGGTTACCCAAAAACATTAAGACTGAATCCCCTCAATATTAATGTAATAGTAACTTCCTACAAGGCCCCATCAACCATGTTGCAAACCTTAACGAAGGGAGAGTGAGAATTGACAATTGGGTCTAAAGATTGAAGGGAGGGGTGAACGAATAATAATAAGTCCCTTTTTACACCCTGCTGCGCCAGGCCTGGTACCATGCTTTTAGTGGGAGCTATTTGTATGGGTACCTGAAGGGAATTTGGGGTGGTTGATGTACCAACGAGAAGTAATACCCTCAAGTCTGTAAACCCCATTTCTGTGTACATACATCTTCATCTACTCATCGATTCGTATTTCATTCATTACATTGTTGGGTAGGAGCTTGACAATATCACATTCACATCTGTTGGAGTTATGGATCGACGCCCACTTGTAGAGATAAAGAATTGGCTTGTCACAAATCCTGTACCACCCAATGAGAATACAGCAGAGCCTGTATTGTAGGACCTTCGAGGACAATCCTCTCTCGATTTTATTAATATAAAACACCGCTAGCCACAAGGGTGGGGCAGGTATTGGGGTGCAATCTCTCCACTCCGTCCTACGTACTCTTGGTTGTATGGATGATTTACGTATGTGTACCACCTTCGTATCTCTACAACTTCATCGTATGTGTTGAGCGTAGAGTCCGCCACTATCGGGAATCCGTCCTTTCGCGTGTCGCCAGGTCATGACCATTCCTCCGCGTCGTATTGGACGGCACAGGAATCACGATGGCTCAGGCTTTCCCCTTTGTATACCACCACTGGTGCCTAACAAGACAACATTCTCAAAAATAGTGGAACCCTTGTATTCAAAGCAATGACTTGTTAACATTAAAGATATTTTTTATCTTTTGAAGAGGCAACATCTATCCAGAGTTGACTCAGTGAAGACGCTACCAACTGAAGTTGTAAAGCGATGAAGACTGTTGAAGCTGTTGTATCGACCATCACATCACATTGAGTGGTGTATCTAGATGATTTGCCAGTAAGCTCTCTAAACTAACAATGCACGCAACTCAAATGAGTTTACTTAACTCGGCGCGGTGAATCTCAGAAAGGAGTAGAAACTGTACACTCTTGAAAAACTGTTCGCAAGTCTTCGGATGGAGGTCATGCTGCGAACACAACTGCCTCTTTCAGCTAGCAAAGTGAAAAATTTCAGCCGACTCTTCGTGTCACACAGATTTGCATGCGCTTGTGCAATAACTTACCCAGGCCCCAAGTCACATGGAAGTATTCAGAATCACCGGCCGCTTGAAGAAGACAGCGATGGGAGAGGACAGACTTGTTGCACAAGTGAAAGCCGCTTTATTCCAAGTGATTTGAAAGGGCATGGCACAGAAGTAGCGTGAAAGTGACGATAATAGAACGAGATCTAGTCTTGTTCGTCTACAACCCGGAGGGACCACCGATTCTTATTTGATTTGTTTACAAATTATGGCCGACAACGGTGCTCGAGGAAGCACCGACGTAAATGGGAGAGGTCAACTGTAAACCTCTGTCGAAAGTGGGCTGATTACTCTCCAACTTTCATGTTATGTTTGTTTCTGATGACACTGCTTATGATCTCTCCTCCGACCTTGATGATCTAGAGGATTATGTGACCTAATTCTATCTACTCACAGAGGGAAGTGGTCTATGATCCATATTACTTCATACAGTTTCTGAGTTAGCTTGTAAAATTACAAAGTATCCAACAAAATGATGGAGACGCGGCAGTTGCAACACAATGATCAATAGCGGGGATCAACAAGCGTCTAGTCGGTTGGGTTTGTCTTTCGCCATCTTGTGCATCCAGTCATTCGTTGGTGAAGCGCTGGGGAACATACGATTACACTTGTCAAGTGAAGTCGATTCATCCATATGGTACAGCTTGCGACCGGGAGTTCGGAAAAAATTTGCCACGAAACCCTTAGAACTCCAAGAAAACGCACCGATGGCGATTGTTATGTACAGATCCATGCTGCTGGTGTAACTATTCAAGCCCAATCCCACCAATTGGGAAGAATAGTCTGATTCTCCAGCTGCGACAGCAAGAAGGCCTGGTCCGTCGGGAACCCGGCCATCTCCTCCAGCTTCACTTGGGGCGAGACCATGTCCCCGTCGGCGAGATGCAGGTTGGAAATCGGCCCCACATAGTTTTCGGGAGGGAACTGGGGATTATGATACTGGGCCCATGAAGCGTCGACTAGCGTGCTTGGATTGCTGCTGTCGGCAGTGCGGGGGCTTTCGGCGTCCATGACATCGCTGGAGTTGCTGTCGTAGCTCATTGTCCGCTTGAATCTGTGCTCGGTAGACTCCTGGTCTGCTATGGGAAGCACGTCGATTGTGGGAGTCGGGTGGGTTTTCGATGACACAATGTCGGATTTCTCAGAATGCGCGGGAGAAACTGGCTGACCCTTGAAATGCTTGAGTTTGGGAGCGTCAACGTTTTTTGGGACCTCTGGAGCGATTCCCTTGAGGCGATTTACCTGATCAGAAAGGAACAGAGAGGTTTAAATTCGATTGAGCGGCAAACAACAGTGCGATTCTGGGGGCCTGACGCGGAAATTGAGTACCGACACTGTTGTCTGGTGCGACTTTTTCGTCTTTGACACCGCGTGGAACTAAGCTCCATTACGGTGAACACAGGTGTTGGAATCATTTGTGGGGATCACTGATTTTAGGGATGTTAGGGGTAGAGATCATACCTCGTTTTTCAATTTTTTCTTATCGCGAAGGGCTGCATCGAAATCGTTCTTCAAGCGATTGTAGTCTTGTGTGAGAGCGTCATAGTCGCACTCCAGCTGTTTGATTTTCCAGCGCGCGCGCCTGTTCTGAAACCACACCGCCACTTGACGGGGTTGCAGTCCTAGCTCCTTGGCAAGCTGCATTTTCCTCTCGGGCTCAAGCTTGTTTTCCACTTCGAAATTCCGCTCGAGTGATCGCACCTGATCGAATGAGAGACGCCGCTTCTTTTCCACGCGATGAGAAAACTCGTCGCATCCGTCGTCAGCATAATCGGTCTCCAATGACGAGGGATTCTCATACGCGGTGTAATAAGGGCGTTTTAGTACGCACCCCGCGTTCATATCCTCCAGGTCTTCAAGAGACCTCGGCACTGTAAAATTGCAAAACAATCCAATTACTCAAACCCTCCGGACAGCACTCTCCAAGCATACAAAACAATCAAACAACAAGAGATACTTCTACCTCCCTTGATCCATCTGCAGCCCTCTCTACAGATTTACCGATTTCATGAACCCTCACCTCTTTGGAGTTTCCGTTAGGGCAATCCAAGAAGGGAGGGCAACCTGCATTGCAAGATACCAGATAATTTATTCACTGACCAGCCTGCCCTATGCTGCAGAGACAATTGACGACACCAAGTGGAAGCCTAATTGAGAGAGAGAGCATGCCACGATCGATTGCACACCTTGTTGCAAGGACATCTGAGGAGAGCGAGATCCAAGCATGGCTATGAGAGTGTCGGCGTGTTGATCTTTGTGCTGCAGAAGCATATTCAAGTTCTGTCCAACGTATGGGCCCAGGCTGGCGACGGCCATGTTTTCGGATCTGTCCGCAGCGTCACTGAGGATTTTCACTAGTGCTGATCTTGCAAGTGCATTGGGCCCTGCGATCATACCCAACCCATTCAACCTCGCACTCTGGCTTCCCGTTGTCTCTTGTAGACGTCTGGCCTGGACTCTGCACCAAGGGCGTGCATGTGTGTACCTCTCGAGCCCTGCTAGGACTGAAGCTCGATTCTACACCAAAGAACTACAAATTAGAGCGAGGCGCATCTCGCCCTTTATGACTATCGCAAGAGCTTGGGTCTCCGACTACTGCAAGCACCGATCCAAATGCATTTACCTTTTTTATTACAAGGTCAAAAGGATACAGGCACAGGCAAATAAAATAACCGCGGCCTCCTCGGGTGCTCTTGGCCTCATGAGTCATGACCGAGCACAACCTGTACCAGACTAGAAGTGCTGCAGGTCTCTTGCGACGATACGACGCGCACTGCAGATACACTGAGGCAGATCATTTTTTTATTGTTTTTTTCCTTGTTCTTCCTGTTTTTTACGTCGATTAATACCATTGAGATCACGATTATTCTCATTTCTTTCACCGCGTCCTCTCAATCCTCTCCCTCTCTCCGTCTCTCTGTGTCCTGTGCACTTGCCCACGATTTCAGCCCCCGGGGCCCTCCATCGCTACCAACAGCTCTGACACCCAAACCTTCAACAACACGGACTCTCTGAAGCCAAATTTAGACAGTACAACGCTGGCTGAAACGATCCCTCTCTCGCCACTCCAGTGCCGCAGAAACATCCCCGCATATACCGCACGATGTTGTCTCATAACCACAGGAGTTTCTGAGACCGCATCGACGAGATGCTCCCCTGCTTCGACTGGAGCTCTGTCGCCGCGCGCTCGCTCCGATCACTCACAATCCCCCAATCCTCCCTGTAACCAACACCTTTGGCTTTATCTGATCACACCCACATGCAGTTTCGAAACTTGCCTTGCCGATCGTCTCCGAGATGTGCAGGAGCAGGAAATATCTCAAGCCTCACACATTTCCAGTTCGGAGGATTTGTTTCTAGTGCCTTGTGAGTCTCTGTTGCAAGATTTTGTTCCATATTGTAGCGATTATTGGGCAGAGAGACAAGATCTAGAGTTGTTGGTTGTATTGCTGGATTGACATGGAAATCTGCATGGTCTCGTGTTTTTTGTTAACCCACATCACCGTTTTATTCTATCATTGTGAGTGCTTTGATGTTGTGGTTGAACCTCACAATTACTAATGAGCAAAACCTGAAAAAAGATATCATAATAATAACAATAATAACAATAATAACAACAGCAATAATCAAATATCAATTGCATAATGGAGTATTAGCATTTACATAAAACATGACTTGAGACTCCATTTTCGTGTATTCTACTGTTTTTAAACTTGTGAAACGTTTCCATCCCTGATATTCCAACGCAGCCCATTAAAACTGGTGTAGAGTGAGCCTTCCTGAAACGTCTGATGTGATAAAAGACTCACCTTTTACTTTTCTTTTGTTAGTTTATTTACTTATTTATTTATTTATTTATTTATTTATTTATTCAGTTTATTGAGAGCCTTAATGTCATGTACCAACTGATTTCACGTCCTTTTTCTTTTGCTGTACCTATAGATCTCGTTCCCCCACAAAAGAATCCATTCAGTCTCTGAAGTGACTGAAATTCTTTCAATCACTTCATAAGAAATTTTACCAACCACAAAAAAAACAGACACAATGTAAGCTCCAATATCAGCTCTATCATTACAATGACTTGCTAATAATAATAAATTAGTCATGGTTCTCTTCATGCTGGTTTTGGAGGAGTGAGAATGTGGGTGAATTTTCCATGTTTGCCTTCATGAATTACAGGCATTGTTTCAGAAAAATCATCTTCATAAACATGTATATAATATTGTGGTGATATATATATATATATATATATACTGTTCACATTATATATATATATATATATATATATATATACTGTTCACATTATATATATATATATATATATATATATAATGTGAACAGTGTGTGTTGACCTTTCCAAATTAGAAGGTTCCAGTCAATTATGGGTCAATGGCTAGAAAAAAAAATTCCTAATTATTGAGTGCTAAATAGAAACGCTAATCAACGCCTTGATTCAATGATTTGACCAGTCAAACTTTGCACACCACCAGGGATTCTGTGGCCACCTGTAGGGAATGATTTTGCTGCTCTATTTTCTATATATTTGTATTTTAATATTTTATGTTTTTATTCTTCGTATTCTTCTGTGCACATGGGAACAGGTGGGAACACACAAGTCGTGATGCTTGGGAACATCAAAGTCAACAATTGTTAATTTTGTTGATGTGAAGAATAAACCATTTTAATGCTAATAATTGTGGTCTTAAGTCATATTTAATACCCCACAAATTGACAAGAACTGGCTTTTTCTTCAAAACCCAAAAAAAATAAAAAAATAAAAAATAAAAAATCACATTAATAGAGATAGAAATATTTAATTGTAAATCTGACCTAGTTTGAAATGGCTGTGTAGAGTGCTTTCATGCAATGTTTGAATCTTTTAATTTTTTTGGCAAGATAGTTCAATTTTTCATTTGTATTTACATGTTCTGAAGAAAAAAGAAAAAAGAAAATACCTTGAATATATATATATATATATATATACACACACACACACACACATGTACATCTGTGTTTCTAAACATTTTCATATCACAAAAGAATACTTTCATTTTTACTGGCTTTTTTTTCTGATGCAATGAATAATAATTTCGTGGTATATATATATATATATATTTTTTTAAAGTGTTTAAAACCTTTCAATCAACTTCTACAAAGCTAGAATAAGATTGGATTTTCAATACAATAATATTATAATTGTTGAATTTTATCATTTTCTTTTTTGTTTTAAGGAAATTTCAATTATAAAGAAGATGCATGATGATAACAACTTGATGTGAGCACCTATGTCATTTCTATTATTATCTACTAATTATTATAAAAAACACCCAGAAAGTGTGTTCTATTTTATTTTTCTGTTTGGACTGTAACATGTAAGATAAATCTTTCAAAATCTTTGATACATAAAAAAATTAATACAACTTTGAAACCAGATCATGCTTTACATAACTTGGATTTCTACTCATTTTGCATGTTGATGTCACGTTTTAGAGTTTAATACCTTAGTGTATTGTCCCAGCAGATTATGGCTCTATTGGAGTAGGATTTGAGTGTTAAAACAAATATTATGCTGTTTTGGAGTACATCATTGAAACTTTATCCCATAACTGAGCATTATTATGACTCTTCACATTGCATTGAAACTGATCAGATATTTTTCTTTGCTTAAGGAGAGCAGATGTAAAATAAGAAAATCTTGGTTTTATGTGCATGATTTTATTGATCCTTAAATAGAATTTAGATATTTAAAAAAAATTAATGGTGTGAGATTAGAATTGATTAGTGCAATGTTATCCCAGAAAATCATACCACTGTAATAACTTTGCAAAAAAAAACAGTCATATTATATTGATAAAACAGTTGAACCCATGCCATTGTCAAGAAAAACTTTTGTTTTATTGTTTTCATCAAAAAAATTAATGAAAATAATAATGCTTAAGCTGAAAGCCAATGTGATATCTTTTTTTGAGGTAGAAGTGAATCATATGTGTTGTTGAGGCCTTGTGAATATGTAAATCTAGTTTTGTTAAGGCCATGTGTACTTGTCCATAACTCAATTTTACTTCACTTTTAATGAAAACAATGAGAGATGTAGCAAATCAGAGATCTCATTTAATAATATATTATAAATTTTATAATTCAAAATTATTCACAAATCCAATATTAAGAGCTTCTATCTTTGTTTTTTCAGAATAGGAATTAATATCACCAAATACTTTTGAGATTTATTTTTACTAATTCAAAAGCTGGATATAGATATTTTTTTTGAAAATTAGAAATTTTTTACTAATTTAATTTTAAAGAATAAATTAGTAAAGATAGCTAATTTTCAAAAAAAATCTGATATCAAATTAAAAAAGTAATATTAATTTAATTACTTATATAATTTCTAACTAATAATAAAAATTAGATTTTAATACCTCATGTACTGATTCTTTTTGCATTTTATTACTTTGTATCATGAACTATGTTTGAGTTGTTTTCTTTTAACAATAAAAACTAAAATTAAAATTATATTAAATTATTTTTCAATATAAAAAACATATTTATAAATAACTATATAATCGTTACCTCAACTTTACCGAAAATTCAATTAAATTTAAATTATTTCACTTCAAAATTATTTTAATTTTTTTTCATTTAGATACAATCTTAATTTTATTAAAATTATTAGAGAAAATATTATTCTAATTTTATTCTACTAAAAATTAGTACTAGGACATATTTTTAATGTAAAGTCTAAAAATTTGAGTATCTTTTTTTTGAAAATAGAAAAAAGTGAAAAGATTAATTTTGATTGCACTCATAGACTTTAATGCAAATGCAATAGTTTTAGACTAGATTCCTAGTCTAAAGACAAAACTATTAATATAAAATGATAAAAAAAAAAAAAAAAAAAAAAAAAAACGTTTTATTATTGAAACATACTATGCAAAAAGCATAGTAAAATTATAACTTTTTAATAGCATTATATAATTTAGTTAATAATAAATATTTATTTAAAGATGATTGAGTGTAAAAATGTAGATTAAATGAGTTGAGAAAATATATTATAATAGTACCTAAAAATAAAATAATTTTTTTCACGTACGCTTTAGATTTATTATTAAAAAAATTACGAATCTTTTTTAAAAATTTAACTTTTTTTGATTGGTAATTTTATTAAACTGTTTCAATTAAAATTAGAGGATTTAATTCTGCAACTTAAATTTTGATTTTAATAATAACCTATAACAATGCAGTGTAAAGACTAGATTAATTTTGCATGAAATAAATCTATCTCAAGAATAAATCTTTAAAGAGGAATATTCATTAAAAAAAGATAATAGTGGTTGTATAGATATATATATATATATATATATATAATGATTATAAATTAAAAACTGAGATACTAATTAATAATATTATTTAATTTTTACATGTTAATTAATATCAAATATATATATATATATATATATATATATATATATTTGATATACTATTAAATCATAAATCACGGATGAAATATTTTAAAATTTTCTAAAACCGTAATTTTTTTTTTTATTAATATTGATTAATTTCGTTTTGCAAAACATTGCATAAACATACTTCTTTATTCTTCTTGTTTCTAATTCTAAAATAGATTATACTTGTACTAACATAAGTTGATATTTATTTATTCCAATACAAAATAAATTTTATACATGTAAATCTTAATTTTTATACAATTATTTTAAAAATAATATATGTTTCAATCAACATATAATAGCTATGGAAATAGAAATAAAAATATTAATAA